TTGGTGGCAGCGGCCATCGCGGCAGTCAAACAGCTGCATGGGGAGGTCGAGCCGGCGCCGGCGCCGGCGCCTGCGGCACGCGCCGCGCGCCCAGCCGGCACCGAGCCTGCAGGGGAGCCGGCCGTCGCGGCGGCGGCCGGCGAGCGCGAGGGAGGAGCGGAGGCGGCGGGAGCGCAGGAGCAGGCGGCGCTGCTGCGGCGTCAGGAGGAGCAGCGTGAGGCGGAGGACGCGATTACACTAGCGGCGCAGGAGCTGCGGGACGAGGCAGCAGCGGCAGGCCCTGGCGACGACGACGGCGACAGAGACAAAGCGGAGGGCGCGGGCGCCGCGCTGCCCGCCGCGGCGCGACCCGCGGGACCGGAGGGCGGGGCGGCGGGCGAGGGCGAGGGCGCGGCCGGGGGCCCGCCTCGGCAGGCGCAGGAGGGCGAGGAGCAGCAAGCCGCGCAGGAGCCCGCCCCGCAGCAGCAGCCCGAACAGCAGCAGCAGCAGCAGCCGGCGCCGCCGCCGCCGCCGCCGTACGTGCCGCGCATGTGCGTGATCTGCGCGGACCGCGCCGAGGCCGTCGCCGTTGGCCCCTGCGACCACTCTGAGATCTGCCACCACTGCTGCCTGCGGCTGCGCATCCTATACCGCGACGCGCGCTGCCCCCTATGCAAGGCGGACAATGCGACAGTCTACCTGACGGCCGCGGCTTCAAGCGCACCTGCGGCCACCGTCGCGGAGGGCGGCGCGCCGCAGCCGCAGCCGCAGCCGCATGCGCCGCCGCCGCCGCCGCCGCCGCCGCCGTCGTTCGAGGAGCTCGAGGCGGCGCGCGCGCGCGCGCCCGACCGGTTCTACTCGGGAAAGCGCTGGGCGCTGGGCGTGCACGTGGACAAGGCCATGCCGGACCCGCCGCCCGCGCTGCTGGCGCCCGGCGGGGGGGTCGCGGCCGCGGCAGCGCTGCGTGCGTGGCAGGGGCGGTGGCGCGTGCCGCTGCATGTGCAGCTGCTGCAGTGGACTAGCCGGTCGTGCCCCGTGTGCGACCCCCTGGTGAGTTCGCCTGCATGGGCCCGGAGTGACCCTTCAGCAACGAAGTGTCACTTGCTGGGGGCGTCATGCAGACTGCCGAGTGCACGCGCATTCTGGTGCAAGCCTCCCAGCCTCCGTCCATGGGTTTTCAGGCGGTTTCCGGCCTGCCGCGTGCCGCCTCCACTCTGGTTTGCGACACCGCCGCTCCTGCAATGGGCCGTGCCTCGACCCCCCCTTCCCAGGGCCGCAACCGCCGGCCGTTTGGGACGCCCAAGGAGCTGCGGGAGCACCTGCTGACTCACGGCCGCGTGCAGTGCCCCGTCTGCGTCCAGGCGGGCCGAAGGTGGGGCCTCGCCCTGGGATTCTGTTCGCATGCAGGGCCTGCGTGCCGTACGCAATGCCGATGTGTCCAGGAACTTTCTGCAGGCGACCGTGCTCCGCAGGGGAACAGCGATGGGCGCACTGGCCGCTGCCCCGACGTACTGGTGCGCCTACGCACACAAGTACGTTGCTCCATCAAGGCGCCATGTGGCGCTCCGTCGAGCTGGCATGTTGTGCTGGCGATTCATTATGATGCATTTGCTGATCCCCCCCCCCTGCAGGTTCCCCCTGGAGCTTGAAGCCCACCAGATTGATGACCTGCCACGCCACCTGGCGCGCGCGCACAAGCACTGCGCCTTCTGCGACGAATACTACTACGGTGCGCGCACACCCCCGAATGCTCGTCAGCGGGGGTTCGCCAACACATGGCACGGGCGCGGATCGAGGGTCGTGGGAGCGCAGGCCAAAACTCCTGGGCCGCCAGAGGCGGCTGCCGGGCAGCTTCCTGATGAACGGCACCCTGACCGCGCTCCCACCATGCGCTGCCCGCCACCAGGGGATGACGAGATGTACGACCACATGAAGCGGAAGCACTTCCACTGCGGCATCTGCCAGGCCGCAGGCACCCACCACCTGTACTTTGCGTGAGCGCCGACACCGCACGCCCCTGTTGTGTCCTTGCACGCATGCCCTCTGAAATCGACAGTTGTGCACATGGGTGCTTGGCGGGCGCGGCGGCTTCGCAGCAGGGCGACCGCGATCGTGCGCGGCATGCGTTTTGTAGTGCGTTGCGACGCGCTGCCATGCCCTGCCCAGCGCCTTGTCACACCCAGCCGATGCCTCACATCCTCCCCCTCTTGCCCGCGCCCTGCCCTTCGTGGACGGCCCTGCAGCGACGCGGAGGGCCTGCGCAAGCACTACGCCGACGCGCACCACCCCTGCACCGACCAGGACTGCGCTGGCGCCTTGGTGGCTTTTGCGAGCGAGGACGAGCTCAGGCGGGTGCCAGGCCGCCCGCTCGTGACTGTTCTGCGCGCTGGTTTCGTGTGCGCCAACTTGCGAGCATGAGCCAGTGTCTGCATGCGCGTATGCATGCTTGCATTCGCGCTTGCATGCACACGCGCATGCATGCATGGGCGCAGCATGCATGCATGCATGTGCGCGTGCTGCCTCGTCATCGCCACATGATTGCTGTTCACAGCGCGCGGCCCTTGCCGCGCCAGCAGCCTGAGCGTCTTCACACGCGGCCCCAGCGGCACCTTCCGGCCCGAGCAACACGTCGACGGCCCCAAGCCGCGCCGTGCATCTTTGGCCCTGCACCTATCGATCCCCCCGCCTGCCCAGGACACCCCCTTCCACCACGTGGCTCGCAGGCAGCACGTGCTTGACCGCCACCACAATGGGATGCCTCGCTGGAACAGGGCGCGGGCGCGGCCCCTGCTGCTCGACCTGCCGCCCCTCAGCACAGCCCTGCCCAGCGGCAGCGCCGCCCGCGACGACCGGGACGTTGAGCGCGGCGC